CCTCGCTCAGCCAGTGAGCGGGAACCGGTCTGTATGTGGGATCCGAACCCTCGGCGGGAGCGCCACCGCGCTTCCCAAGCAGCGCACTATAGCAGTGCGCCACCGGGCTGGCCCCAACCTCCTAGATATTTCTTAAATCCATTTTGTCTTCTCTACCCCATTGCCACACTTCCAGGTCATTATTGTTGCCCATCTGGACCTTTGTAATAGTTCGCTAATCAATTTCTCCCATCCCTCAAATCCATCATTTATACAAATACCACTGTAATCTTTTTAGAACATGAACATGACCTGCTCATATTGTGAGTAAAACCCATGAGTGTCTACCCACTGCCTACTGGATAAAGCCCAAGCTCCTCCATACGGTAAACAAACAGCCCAAGTCCCCCAGCCATATCTCACCACTCCTTGCCTCGCACTGTGTCCCTGGAGATAGCAAATGCTTGTTGTTTCTCATACACAAAAGCACTCAGTACATTACATGGGAATGATCATCCCCCCTAGTCCTGGTGTCCAGGCATGCAGAAAGGTGGACTAAAAAGAACAATAACGGGCCAGCCCGGTGGCTCACTGCTACAGTGCGCCGCTTGGGAAGCGCGGTGGCGCTCCCGCCGGGGGTTCGGATCCCACATACAGACCGGTTCCCGCTCACTGGCTGAGCGNAAAAAAAAAAAAAAAAAAAAAAAAAAGAACAATAACAGCCAACATTATCCCTTTTAATCTCCATACTATGAGGCACATCCTATTTCCTCAGTTTAGTCGATGAGGCAATTAATAGAAAGGTAAAGTAACTTGCTCAAAGCTACCCTCCTAATGAGTGGCAGTCAGGATCTAAACCCTAGGTCTATACTCTTACCCATCACACTGTGTCACCAAGAATCAACTTTTACTCAGCATTCACTTAAAATGTGCCAAATATTTATTTTAGTCTTCGAAGACTGACATAGCTAAAAAGACCCATCATGTGGCACTGTGAGTCTTGGCCACAGGCAGCAGCTGCACTCTCTCATCTCTGAGGCCGGTCCTTGTGGAGGTGCCCTCCATACTTGTGAACTGTTGGCCCGTACACATCACGGAACAAAACCAAAGCCAAACACTTCTCACCCTTTCTTCATCTGCTGGCCTTTAGCTCCTGCCTTCGGGCTTCGAGCAACGGGTTTCTGATCTCCCTCAAGGAAATCCAGTTTATCAGAGAAGCCTGTAGGTGAAGAAGTGCTTTGATCAGCACCATCGTATTTTAAGAAGAAAAGTTTAAACCTCAAAATAAGGCTGTTACAGTCATGCACCATATAATGTTTTGGTCAATGATGGACCACATATACGATGGTGGTCCCATAACATTATAACAGAGCTGAAAAATTCCTTTTGCCTAGGGACAATGCAGCCCACCACAATGTTGTAGCCCAATTACTTTATTTTTAAAAAACACAGTGTAGCCTAAGTGTACAGTGTTTATAAAGCATACAGTAGTGTACAGTGATGCCCTGGCCTCCACATTCACTCACCACTCACTCACCCGCCCAGAACAACTTCCAGTCCTGCAAGCTCCATTCATGGTAAGCGCTCTATACAGGTGTACCATTTTTTAAAATCTTTTTTACTGTATTTTTGCTGTACCTTTTCTATTTCTAGATACACAAATACTCACCATTGTGTTACAACTGCCTACAGTATTCAGTATAGTAACATGCTGTACAGCTTTGTAGCACAGGAGCAACAGCTATGCCACCTAGGTTTATGTAAGTACACTCTGATGCTTGCATGATGATGAAATTGTCCCCTGTTGCATTTCTCAGAACGTATCCCCATCGTTAAGCAATGCATGACTGTATTTACTAAATTGATTTTAGGAAGCATATCCTGGTCCCCATACCATTCCCATATAGTTCCAAATCAATCAAGACTCCCAAGCACTGTGCGTTAAAATGAACTTGAAGGTACCTGGTACCCTTGTTCCTCTACCTCCTTAGCAGAGAAATACACCAACCTTTCTGATATTTCTTAATGGCACTCATCACATGTGCTTTCTCCCGCTGCCTCTTCTGAAGAACCTCTGTTTGCACCTGTAATAGGAACACAAGGACAGTTACACCCTTCCAAACCATACTCCAAGTGTCTACATTATCTTAATAACAACACTGTGATTACTACCACTGCCATTTAACATTTACTACATGCCAGAAACCATGCTAAGGGTTCTAAGTATACTCTCAGCTCATTTAT